TTCTCGCCGATGTTCACGGAAAGACCTGGGAAAACCGATCTCCTATAGCACCGCATCGAAACCAAGGATGCACCACCGCGGAGGTGCAATCCGAGACCCATAAGTGCTCACAAGCGCGAACTTCTTGATGCGGCGCTATTAAAAATGATCGACACAGGCGCAGTACGTCAGTCAAAAAGCCCTGGGGCTTCCCCGGTGGTCCTTGCTCCAAAGAAGGACGGCACAGCAAGGCTTTGTGTTGATTACAGGCGCCTATAGGAAGCGTCAGTCAGAGACAGTTACCCGTTTCCTAGTGGTTCCTCAGTAATGTATGACCCTGGAAACGCGACTGTTTTCACAACCCTTGATTGCATCCGCGGATTTCTTCAAATCGAAGTTCATCTGGCTGATGTAAAGAAGACCGCATTCATTTGCCACAGGAGGTTGTTCGAATTCACTGGCCTTCCCTATGGTTTGTCCAACTCTCCCGCCAGCTTTCAACGCCTAATGGACGTTGTCCTCGGTGACGCAAAGTACGAGTTTACGGTGGCGTACATGGATGACGCAGTGGTGTTTTCACGAACATTCGAGGAGCTTCTCGTGCACCTGCACATCATACTCAAACGAATGCGTCAAGCCGGCCTTACGATTCATCCAGATAAAGTCCAGTTGGCCTGGCCTGTAATCAACCTTCTCGGATTTGTTGTAGATAACAAAATGCTGCGGCCGAATGAAGATAAGCAGCGCGCAATAACGAAGTACCCACCTCCTTATGACGTCAAAAGCCTACAGAGATATCTCGGGATGATTGCGTTTTATAGAGATTTTATTCCGCAAAGCGCTGAGATAATTGAACCTCTGAACCGACTGTTCCTCAAAAAAATGAAAGCCGTTTACAATTCCCTGTAACGCCGGTTAGAGCGCAGCTCTTGAGGAGGAAGATGGAAGCGTACTGAGGGGTAGGTGACTCCTTGAGGTCACGTGACCTCAAGGGGGTTACATGACTTCAGGGGGTCACGTGACCTCAGGGGGTGACGTGACCTCAGGGGGTCACGTGACCTGGGTGGGTCACGTGACCTCGGGGGGATCACGTGACCTCGCGGTTACGCCGACGGCGACGCCGACGCCGCTCAAGCCGGAAACGGGCCCCTAAGAGCTGCGCTCTAAAAACGAAATGGTGCTAGGGGCAAGAGCAGCAAACCGCATTCGCGTGTATTTCAAGGGCTGTGAGTGAAAACGCGTGTTTAAACGTGCCCCACTTGAATTGTCCGTTCATCTTGCAGACCGACACAAGCGATTACGGATTAGGAGCAGTCCTTCTGCAGGAACATGACAGCGTTCCTCGTCCCTTAGCTTTCGCCAGTCATACGTTAACCGGAGCGTAGCGAAACTACTCAACAACCGAAAAAGAGTGCCTGGCAATTATTTTTGCGCTTAAGAAGTTTGACATGTACCTTGACGGCGCTTCGTTTAGCATTCAAACTGACCACATGGCTCTCTCGTGGCTCAAAGGGCATCAAAACCCTGCAGGACGACTCGCTCGATGGGCCCTTTCCTTCCAGCGTTACAAATACACAATCGAGTACAAGCGTGGAGTGGCTAACCACGTTGCAGATGTGTTGTCCCATGCTCTACTTTTCGGGCAGGAAATGCAGGTGGATCCCGACTTGGTGGCACTGGCCAATACGGCGCCCATCACACCACATTCGCGGTGGGGAACCCTGGTGAGCAGAGAGGAACTCCGAGCGGCCCAGCCGTCCGATGGACTTTGTCAGAAGGTGATGCACCAGCTGGCAGAAGAAAACTCGGCCGACGCTGGGAATCCCAGAGACTTGGACTCATACCTGCTCAGCAGCAACGGCATCGTGCTGCGATACATCCCCCAGGCGGATGATGGGTCCAGCGGCCGGCCATTCCGGACTGTAATACCACGTAAACTGCGTAAGTCATTTATAAGATATATGCATGATCCCGCCTTGGCAGGCCAGAGCAGTGGGAGCAAAACTCACGAAACGTTGTCCCAAATTGCAACGTGGCCAGGTATGAGGCAGGATGTGATGAGGTACGCACGTAGCTGCCCGGTTTGTCAGAAGGCGAAACCCCAAGGTGGCCAACCACCAGGTTTAATGCAGTCGGTCGAAAGCAAGTACCCCTGAGAGCGTGTTGCCTGCGACGTTGTCGGTCCCATCCCCCATAGTCAACGCGGCAATCAGTATTTGCTAGCAGTGACCGACCATTTCACAAAGTGGGTCGAAATGTTTTCTTTGCGCAAACTAGACTCTTGGAAAATCTGGGACTGTCTTCTCGAGACGTTCGCGCGCTTTGGTTTTGCCGCAACGCTTATTACAGACAACGCTTCTTATTTTGTTAGCAAGGTGTTCGTGGATGCGTGTAAGGCGCTAGGCATACGGCAGAAACGGACTTCGCCATACCATCCACAGGCGAATATCACGGAAAGAGTGAATCGTAACCTGAAGCAGATGCTTGTATCGCATACAGAGCGACACAAAGACTGGGACGCGAAATTGACAGAAATGGCATTAGCAACCCGCACAACATCAACCGGTCCACGCGTTTCACTCCGGCCCAACTTAACTTTGGGAAAGAGCTCGTGTTTCCCCTGGGAAACGGCCTCCTTTACACAGATCCTGCAAGCATGCGGCGCACTACCACGCAGTTCGCAGAAGATCTCCGGAAGCGTTTCACAGTGAACCTGCGTGAAGCTCGAGAGAGCCTCGATGTCTCGAGACTGCAGCAGGCAACAAGTACAACAAGGGGAGGTGAAATCTGCAGTTCAAGGTAGGAGATCTGGTACTGAAGCGAACTAATCCGCTGAGTGACGCTGCTAGAGGCTTCACGGCCTCTTTAGCAAAGAGGTGGAATGGCCCCTACCGTGTTAGTAGGTAGCTTTCCAACCTGTCTTATGAGCTGGTGCATTGCGAATCTGGTGAAGTGTGCGGGTCTATTTATGTCGCCGACCTAAAAGCTTTCTATGAACCCGAGGAGGTAGATGTGTCACAGGTTCCAGATGGCGACTATCCGGACCACCTCTGGGAAGATTCCACACCGTCTCTACCGCGGTGCAATTTGAGACGGCGGTGAAGATGACCGGGAGTAGCAGGAGCTCTAAGTGCATTATGTTCATGCCCTCTTCGGTGTTTTGGGTGGGAGAAGAGAAAGTGGCCGCGCTCCTGCATGCACAGTAGGGCAGGCATCTTTCGTGTGCGCGGCCACTTATTCCTACCGCGCCATAGGCTCATCTTGTTTTTAATTTATAGTTCCTCGTGCCAGACAGCGGCAACGCAGCTCCCATCATCAGACCCCCCCACAGCTGCATCGGTACTGTCCAGAAGTACTGACGTCGGACCCGTGCTCGCCCATCTGAGAAGACCCTCGCTGACCCAGGAAGAAGGCCCCCCCAAGACCATCTAAGACGTCCTCTGTTTTCGTTTTTGGAAATGGGGAGATGTGTGGGCAACCTGGCGATTCCAAGCGGTTGGCCCAGGCTGCCCCTTCGACAATAATAAATGGTCATCTTCACCACGAGGGGGCCAAGGGCAAGTGGCCACGCGAGCGGCGCTCCGTCGCTGATAAAAGGCCGTCGCAGAGGATGCGCGGGGGCTGTTGGGATCGCGGCGCAGGCGATAGCGTTCAGTAAATGTTTACGTGTTGTTGAACCGGTATGCTGTGTCATTCTCCGAGACGGGTAGCACCAAGGGAAATCCCACAGGTTATATGTGATTTTCTGAAAACTTCAATGGAAAAATGGCAGCCGACGGAGCTCCCGAATACATGGAGCTCTATGGCGCCAGAAACTGAAAACGGCAGAAGATGGGCCCCATTTTCCCATTGAAATTTTCATAAAATCACTTATAACCTTGAATACGATATCGGATCGGGCTGAAACTTTGGCATCTGGTTCGGACATGTAGTACTACTTACTATTTTTGGTTGGAAAAATGAGCGTTCTGCGATACATAGTTTATTTTAACGCAGAAGAAAAAAAAATACCCGGTAATATTTTTTGGGAACACCCTGTACAATCAATAGTATCCTGTTCTACACTGAATATGAAAAATTAAACACAAGAACACCAATGGCCCGTGGAAGTTATAAACAGCAGTGGGCTAATCTTTTGTTGTTACGGGTATACCCCGTCTGTCAACGAGCGAAGAGCAGTCTGATAAAATATTAAGTGTAAAACAATTCTTGGGGCAAGGACCCTTTTCAGAAGTCCTCGACAACGCCTCTCCGCCATTGCTTGATTAGATGCTCCCAGCTTGCACTTGACACGAGGACTGCGTCCACATTGGGCGAGGAGTAGGATCCATCCACGCGCTTTGTGTCTAAGGAATGTCGACCTCCAATGTTGCTCGATGTACTTTTGAATAGGGTCTATTCATTCAGTCACTGTCAGTAGCGGCTCTCAACCTGTAGCGAATTTGTATATTTCCCGCAATGTAACAAGTTAAAAAAATGTAACAAAAAAAAATTACTAAAATCTTGTCTCGCGTCGTTCCTTCGGACATAACGGATATAGTGATCGGAAACTACCCTTTATTTGCATTGCCCGCGTAAGTAGACCTTAACTTCATTCTCCTGTTTTTGATGTACCTTTCTCTGTCGGTGCGTCGCATACGACTGCGTCCACTTATGTCCATTTTTGGTTTTGAAGTGTGAACCGTATTTTTGTTAATTTAGGCTGCATCAACAGTTACAACAAAATAGGTATAGTAAAGCTCCCGCCGCCGCCCTGTTCTTCTCTTTTGGCTGTTCGAAGGCGGCCTGAAGCGTGGTGGTGTAGGCTGCTGCGACTCTGCCGACCGTACAAAGAGGGGCGACATTTACAAATAGATATCAATTCTTTTTTCAAACAGCCCTTTATAGGGAGGTGCGGCTTAGAAACCTATCAGTTGCTCCAACTGATAGGCCGAAGAATACTGTAGTTTCAGGCAAATCGTTTTTTAGAAGACATAAAATACTTCGAACTACGTACGACTCTACGGACGTGGGGTACATACCTGCGACCTTTTGGATCCGCAAAGCCAGGACGTTGAGATAGAACTGACACCCACTGCAGCTCACCTTTATCTCATGCACTGGCTGCGTTCCCGCAGTTATTTTTGTGAGCGGCGATATCAGAAAAGTGGAAAGTCGCGTGATGCGGCCCATACGTCTCATTTATCACCTACTTGTTCTTTAGTCTATGTCCGTTTTTATGCCGCTGCATTTATCTTTGTTTGCATAGGGTTCTTTCACATATCTTCTAAACACATCTCCGAGGACTATTGTACTGTTATACTAAAAGAAAAAGCAACAAAGGTAAATATCTCAAAGCACGTTGACTAAACGCCAACGCGACAGCTCCTGCTGTCAATCGCTGCACATTTTGAGTGGTCGTTTGCAAACTTTTCTGTAATTTTTAAAAAGCTTTTCTCTTCAAACGACTATCGAGCAACATCGATAGTCGCCATTTCTTGGGCACAAAGCACCTGATTGGATCCGAATCTTCACCGAACGCTGACGCTGCCCTCCTGTCCAATACATGCTCAAAGAACTTGATCAAGCCATGGTGGGTAGACGATGGTGCGGACTTTTGAAAAAGAGTCAAATGCGAACCGTCCTTCATCCTCCCGATTGCGCAGCATCACTACGAAAATTAAAAAGCGCAAAAGACAAGGACAAGTGGGAGACAACACGGGACAAGCGCTTACTCGCAACTGACGTTTTTAATTGGGAAGATGAGGAGATGAAGAACCCTAACGTTAAATGATAGATTATGAGAAAGGAGTGAAAGGATCTGAAAAGACTGAGAATTGAAAAAGAAAAAAAAGAAAAAAGAAATTAGTAAAAACGATAGGAAATGGTGGGCATGATTAAAAGGTAACATGTGATGACAGTGAATATATTAAGAAAAAGAAAGAAGAAGGTAAAGCAAATTAAGAATGTCTAAGGAAAATATTTCATGTATTTTGATGACAAAGTCACCGAAGGAGCACTGATGCAGGCGTCTCCTCTGGTCGCAATCACTTCAGCCTCAAGGATTTCTCGAGTTCGCTTATCTGGACACCTCTTCAGGATCCTTGTGCTGGACAGTAGCGGGGCGCATCTACAGTCGCTCACATGTAGAGCGAGATGCCCCGACGGAGAGGATTTTAAAGATAGCGCATGTTCTCTGAGCCTTACGTTGATGCATCTTCCCGACTGTCCCACATATACCTTCCCACAGGTGAACGGGATCAAATACACTACCCCGCTGCAACAGTTGACGTATTTGTTGCCGTGCCTAACACTGCATTGGTCAGGCTTTATGCGAGGGGTGTTGACTTTGGGGCAGAGCTTTTTAAGCTTGTCGGAGGCTAAACACGCAACCAGCACTTTGTATTTAGAGGCAATTCTCTTGAAGTTATGATAGATGCGGTATATATAAGGGACGACCGCCGGTCGACTTCTTTCTCTACTTCTATCGCTTGTTCTGTTTGGTTTCATCATGCATTCAACAACGTCAGACAGGATGGAAGTGGGGTAGCCTGACGCCTTGAGCCTTGATACTTGCGCGTCAAAGCTTTTCCTCGCTGAATGAATGCAAGACCTTTTCAGGGCAGCGCTCAAACAACTAGACACAATGCTCCTTTTGACTAGTTTTGAGTGTTCAGATTCATATTGGAGTATTCGTTTCTTGCATCTAGGTGAATACATCCAACAGACGTGGTCATTTTGAAAGGTGAGTCGCGTATCCAGAAACTGGAGGTTGTTGTTAGTCGGAGTCTCGTGGGTGAAGTTCAATCCTTGGGCCTGACATAGAAATATGTTCTTGATGATGGTGATGTCGTTTGCGTCAGGTATTTTTGTGATGAGCACAAGATAGTCGTCAACGTATATGAATATGCGTGCGACTGGATAGGACGTCGAACCCTGGAATATGCCCCAGTCACACTTTGAAAGAAAAATGTCACACAAAATGGGAGCTCCGCATGACCCGATGCATATACCTTTTTTCTGTATGTAAGTTTCTCCTGAAAAAGTGACAGACGTCGAGCACAAATAAAACTTCAAAAGCTCTAGGAAAGACGCATCTGGTATGCCACAGGTGTTTTGAAAACCTAGGGCTCCATTGGAGTCGATGCATTCGCTGACGGTGTCAAACAATTCTCTGTGTGGTATTGAATAAAATAAGTCTTCAACATCTAGGGAGAACCGATATCGTGGTTGGGTTTAGCCGTCTTTCAGGTATTGCATAGGGTTGTGCGAATATTTGAAATTTCGAATAGTACTTCCGAATAATACACTATTCAATATTCGCTTCGAAAAGAACTGCACTATTCGCGTTTTTCGAAGTGTAAATTACGGCGGGTTAGCCCCGTTGAGTGCGCTTCTTACCAAGCACTGGTGCGCTGCGGAGAAGCAAAACCCGCAAAAGTGAGCTACGTGGGTGTTGCTTCTCCGCATTACATTGGTGCTCGCTAAGAAGCGCCCTTAACGGGGTAACCCGCCGCGATAAACAATATTGTAATTGCGTGCTCAAGAAAAGCATACATCCAAAGCGGGATGGTGTACCCGTGCCGACTGTATATGAAAATAAATGGAAACTTTGTGAATGTGTATATTTACATTGTAGTAAAAGTTTCAAAATTAAACTTTTATGGAAGAGTATACTATGTTAGGCAGAGATTTTTACAACCTGTGTTCATCATATGCGACTCACTCTTTTTTAACTTGAGATTAAAGAAAGAATATTTTATATATCAAGATTTGTAAATTCCCTCAGTTGGTATAGTTGGCCATCTATATAGGATTCATTTTATGTCAAATCCGTCGTTTACTTGCCATCCCAAGACACCAGACCTTCTGAGATGCAGTTCATAAATATAAATAGATTAAGATTAGCTTATGAATGAAAAGTGGAATAACCTTTACAGTGACTTAAAACGAAAGAAACACACAAGATGACGAAACAGACGACACAGACGACACGAAAGCTGTGTCGTCTGTTTCGTCCTTTCGTGTGTTTCTTTTGTTTTAAGTCAATGTAGATCACCAACACGCTCAAGTCTTTCATTAACCTTTACAGGTTTAGCTGGGTTTTCGCCTAAGCATTATGCAATGGTAGTGAAAGGCGTGGAAAAACTATTCGATATTCGAATCGAAAATATTCGGCCTAAACTACTATTAGCTTCGAATTCACTTCGGACTCAAAATCTACTATTCGCACAAGACTAGTATTGAATCATTACTTCTGGGTTGAAAATCAAGAATGGGTCATCAAGTTGGAGGACAGACAAATGACGCAGAAGGTACCGCGACATTTCACCCTGCCAAGATCCCTTCTCGGTTACAATTACGCGAAAAGGACATTCTTCCTCGTGGGTCATGGCCGTAAAAAAAAACTTCCAATTGGTTGCTTTTGGATGCGATGATTTGTTTTCGTAGTTGGTTTAAATCCAGCCTGTGGCTGGATTTCTTTTTTTTATATTCCCAGTCTTTTTAAATCCTTCCACTCTTTTCTCATAAATATTTCTAACATTTAACGTTAGGGTTCTTCATCTTCCTCACCTTCCCAATTAAAAACGTCAGTTGCGAGTAAGCGCTTGTCCTGTGTTGTCTCCCTCTTGTTCTTGTATTTTGCGTTTTTTTTTTTTAATTTTTGTAATGTTTAACCAACTAGGCCAACAAATCATTCGGCGCAGCATCATGCAGACAAAGGCGCTATCAATGCGAAGAGCAAGTCGTCTGCTTGTTGCACAGGGGTTGCGGTGTCGTCAGAACGACGTCGAGCTTTGATTGGCTTTGATTGGAAGGAGAGTGGGTAGACGTCAATGCTACACTCTAAAAAATGTCTGTGCGTCTACTTTCACGCAAAATATTCGGAGAGCCAACTAGCGCAACTTACGGAGGCAGCTCAGCGAATGGCAATGCGGAAACATATGTTTAGACCAAAAAACGCAGTCTGAGTTGTGACATTAAGCAATGCAAAACTTCACGCTTGCATTGCTTAATGTCACAACTCAGACAGCGTTTTTTCGTCTAAACATATGTTTCGGCATCGTCATTCGCTGAGCTGCCTCCGTAGGTTGCGCTGATTGGCTCTCCGAGTGTTGTGCGGGAAAGTAGACGCACGGGCTTTTTTTAGAGTGTAGATGCCTCAAGGTCTACCTATTTTGTTTCGATCAGCCAATAAGAGCTTGGCGGTGTGACATCATCGCAACCCTTGTGCAAGAAGCGGACGAACTTGCGCTCCGCATTAATTTCCTATATCACCTACGGTAGTCTCTTGCGGAGCACAAATTACGCGCGACCGCCACGTCAGTGTTTTGCTGGGAGTCCCGCTCTCACTGATTAAACACGAGTCCCGGCCTAACGTTGACGCAGCATTCGTGGCAGAAAAACACTCGCTGGAGATATTTGGCATCAAAGTTTTTCCTTATACTCCGTCTCACCTAACGTTACTAAAACACTCAGTTGGGAAACTCGCCGTCGAAACCTGGGCCACAGGCGTCCACTGAGACCGAGCTAAATACGACAACGGCGCCACTCTTTATCATTTGTCTGTACTGTGGTCACCTTGAGCTTTTAGAAAGCAAGTTGTTGCGTAAAACTACCGGAAAAGACTCTTTTTTATTTAGTTTGATAAATATACCTGCCACATTCCATAAACATGTCAAATGTTTGGATAAGTTGGAGGGCGCGCAGGCAACACTGCCATATAGTCGTTTCGCCTTAGCCATAACAATTCAATCCTAGTGGCCACCAAGGTGCGTACGAGGCTGTTGGCGGTATGGACCAAGCACACGCAGACGGGTGAGTGGTCGAAATTCCTCGAGTGTCGTTACCATTCTTGCTGCGACAAAGAACTGGGAACGCAGGTGTAAGTAAAGCAAAAACCTAGCAAGCAGACGAGGAGGGCTCGATGAGCAGACGAAAAGCTCGCCTCCGCATAACGGCATGACGCGTCTTGGCGGGCTGATACGTACGACGGAGCAAATATACCACGTGGTTTCTAACAGGATTGTGATTAGACCCGGTGGCCTGTAACATTGGGCT